TTGCAACTACTTAACTATGTCAAAAGATAGGAAGAAGTTCCTGTTAACCACAGAGGTTTTACATGTTTGCAAACTACCCCAATGTTTCACTACCTGGAACAACCTTGAGCAGCCTCTATGAAATCACGTCACAAGAACTTTCAGGCCTTCCCAAGAAAAGTGTGACGTTGCACATGTTCTGGGGCAGCCCAGGCTGGAATGTTTTTATCATTCCTTCTGTTTACCTCTGCTGACTGCAGTCAGTTATAACAGCAGTTGGAGAGTCAGAATAACAAAAGTCTGACAGTGTAAAAGATTACACAGGACCCTGGCCAGCAGCCCACTGATGCTATCGTTACATTTATTTGTTCTAGGTTGAGATAATCCCTGTTTTCAGGGATTTTTTTTTTCTGTTTACAATCTCAGATCAAAGAGAAAGGATCATCAGATGACAGTGTAACTTTCATCTGCAAGTAAATGAGCTTCCTCAGTTCAGAACATGTTATACCTTTATTAAAAACCTTCTGAAATGCTCTTGGATAAAAATATGAATGCAGTGTTGACTTCCAAGGCAAGAGCTGAAGGACAACAAACTGTTCCCTTAATAAAATGTACACCACATACACATGCACATTATTCCCCTTTATGGCTGAATTGTGCAAGCCTGGATTTTTTGAGAGCTTCAGTTGTCTCTCTGGTGTGGTTAAATACAACCAACACTTGCAAAGAACCTTCACCATGTAACACAGCACATCAAAACATGCTGGTTTTTGTTCTGTTAAGTAAAAAATAATAATAATTCTAAAGCATAAGTGGCACTTAAAGACATTAGTCCAATGTAACTGAAACAGGGACTTCAGTCTGTATCTGCAGAAAAGTAACTTTGAATGTTTTGACCGTGGGACTCGCCTCAGTTGAACCAATGAAGTATCTGAGCACTTCACATCCTTTCAGGGCTGCTGTCCTCTCAATTCCCTTCTGAGACCAAGCTCCACTTTCCATCTAACCCCATCTTCACCTGACTCACACAAAAAAATCAGTGGCTTTGTTAGGAGCTGAGTGATCTTCACAGTCCTGCCTCAATGTTTTATTCAGCACATAAGGCTTCTTTTCTTATATTTGCTGCTCAAAGCCAGGAAATCCAACATAGATTTGCAATAACAACCCAGTAACACACAGTTTCATTGTTCAAAGCATACAGAAAGAGAAAAGGAAAACCATGTTACGAATACTAGCTGTGAGAAGTCAGGGAGAACACAAGTACTCACCCTTAAGTCCATATCAAGGGGAAAAGAAGCTGAAAAGCACTCTACCTACATCTCCCTCAGCATCATGAAGCCAACACTAAGCAGGTGTTGGCAGACAAGCCCTGAAAAGAAGATCACTAACAAAGAAACCCAGAAAGATGGCTAGCAGGTGCCTTTGGACACCACTCCAGGGCATAAGAACCATCAGTTGTTCAGAAAGTGCGTATGATAATATATGGCAGACATATTCAAGATCAGCACAATCTGGTCTCTGCAGCATTTCAGTACAGGGAAAGCTTATCTCATTGATAAGGTCTTGAGGAATTTTTAACAGCCTCATCCCTTCCTGATCCATGGAGCACAGATATTGAAAAAACAAAAGCAAGGCTATTGGGATAGACTGTCAATGCAAACACAGCATTCCCTATTTTATCCCATATATTAACATAGTGATTTCAGTGACACAGTCAGGTTGGAGTGGCCAAGTCACTGCAAATGTTTAGCAGAAATTCTGCTTTGGTTAAGGACATGATCCTCGTGTCCATGAAAGGAGATAAAACCCCTTTAGATCTCTTTCCAATCAGCCTCTCTCTATGTCAGAAGTGGTCAGGAAAAGGTAGAAATAGACTTTACACTTTAAATTTCTCAACCCCAAACCAAACCAGAATTTGTCTGGAATTTCAAAAATTAATGTATGATGGAGGAGAAATTCTTTAGTTTGATTAAGTCAAAGTAAAGGTAGAGCTAATACATCAGCCTCAGGAGAGAGACATGTGGGGGACTCAAGAGACACTGTCTGACTGCAGTAAATCGATCAGGAAACACCGTTATTAAATCACAACACTTGCTTAGTTTTCTTTAATATACATTAAGACTGCAACTTAATCCACTCAAGATGCTTTTGTACATGAACGACAGAGAGGACTTCCTGTCACCTTCTCTTAGGAGACAGATGAGAAATGCCAACCTATCGTTCTGCTCTCCAATCACTAGACAGTGTAAAACGGGGTGGGAATTTGCAGCCCTGTGAAAGGAGAGACACTCCAGGGCTAAGATTTTAAACTGGGTGAAATTACAATTCAAACATTGTTATAACACCAGATAGTCAATATTTGGAACAACAATACATATAGTTCCCAAATTTCTGCTCTCAGGGCATAATTCAGATGCTGTGTATTTCACAAAGCTTAAACTGCAGCTCCAACACTTCTTGGGAAAAACAGTTTTCCAGTATACTTCAGGTAGAATCAATTTGAGCATAAGTAGTGATCCCATGCAGAGAACTTCTGTGTGTCCAGCAGCAGCACAGACACAGCCATGCAGACAAGAACATGAAATTTTTATAAACAGTGCCAATGTACCAGCTCTTGTCAATGAACTAAATGTTCTTAGAGTATCAGTATTTGCAAGAAACATGCTAATGGATCACAGAGCAAGGAAAGAAAAATCATGCATCAGACTGTGAAAGAAGGATATTTTGGGAAATGTGTGGTGAAAGCTTTACTGGCCAGAATCTCACATGCAAAAGCAGATTATTGCAGTGTGGACATTAAAATACCACAGATAACAAGGGCATAATGATGATGATGATTAAACAATTTATAATGGGTACTAGCTAAACAATTTTTGACACTGATAATCACTCATGTCCATCAACACAAATTAGAACTTTTTATAGCTCCAGTACAGAAGGTGACCTTTAAGACCATTGGCCTTGATTCACAATTAGCTTTAAACTGGGGGGAGGAAGGAAAAAAATCTGGTTGCAAAAGTACAAATACTATTCTAACCAAGAAAGAAGGTACTAAGGCTTCCAGTGTGTGTCTCAAAATATCTGCATTGAGAATTTTAAATGGAACAGTGTCCAGAATTCTTGTCTAATGCTACTCATCCATGACATTTATGGAATAAAAGAATAGCACCACATAGTACTATTCTCGCTAAACAACTATGAGTACTGTTATTTCAAAAGAAAAAGTAAAACCATCCAACATATTATGTAAATATTTTAAATTACAGATGTGTATTGAAAATCACAGGTACCAACATGATATTGTTTTTGGAGAGTTTAATTATCATGGGAGTTGTGAAATCCATCAATACGCCTCAGAGTGGTTAGAATTTTCTCTATTTTGTAGCATTCCAAAAGCTATACTGTTCACATACCAAATGAAAACTATGTGGCAAACTAGGAAAAAACTTTACTATGTTGATTCTAAGAATTTTAATGCAATGCTTTCACAGACATGCTAATACTGCATCCCAAAAAACACATATCAATAAAGGTTTATTCTTACAACATGTTATGTTTGGATTCCAATGTGTGCCTTAAAAAGCAATTTATCAGCTGTAAAACATAGAAGAGCATCTTTGTTCCTAGTGACTGGAGTCCTATGCTTTGGTTTTCAACATTGATTATAGGATCTTTCCCATTTTTTGTATGAAAGTAGAACAAAAACAACTCTTAGAACATTAAACATATTGTAGCACGTGTTCAAATAGGTGATAGGGTATATTTATACACACAGATCTCAATGCCCTTTATAGTATTTATAAAAATCAGTTGTAAATACATTTTTCATTATCCCATATGGACAGTTTTTCCTGATTTCCTCTCATCTTCCAGACTGGTTATTCCTTCCTATAGTAAACCATTGCCTGTCATAGTAATTACACTTTTCCAGAATGGTAGCAGCAAAGCTTTGGAAGATTTAAACTACCAGTAATTTAAATTAACACAAAAGCATTCTCAACCACTACTACCTTAAATGAAGCTTTCAGATCCAGTATGTTACAAATGTAAGGTTAAAAAAAATTAAGGGAAATGGCACAAGGCATAGAAAAAAAAATGGTTTGAAGGAACTCTAATCATGGTAGTGCATTAATCCAAGCTTCCAGTGCCTGGGTCATAATCACAGTGCCTGAGGCTTCTCTCTGTCACACTAGTTTACATCTGCCAGACTGTCACAAGCCTGTGTGCTCAGTGTGTAATTGCATCAGCAAGGGCAATACTCATTTCTTACCCTGTGGTGACATTTTTATTTATGTATTTAAAACAGGTTCTTCAACAGTTACTCAGTGCTACAAGGTGAGGATCTCCTGATGCCTGAAAGCACAGCAGTGAGGGAGTCAGGCATAAGATGCTGTGCTGCTTCTATCACAGCTGTGCTTCCAAACATCTCCCTCACTTTTATTTTTTTTCCACTTTACCAGTAAATCAGTTTACTGAGCATTTTTAAAAATAAAATTTCAGACTTTTTCAGCCTATGTTCATCTAGCCTAACTTAGTCTTCCATCTTCAAAAGTGAGATTTTTAAACTGGGCAGTTAAATCTCTATCTCTACAGTCTCTGACAGGTTTCCTCACTTTGCTAAAGTGCAGATAAAAGTTAATCACAGTCTTTTGATTAACTCTTCCTTTCAACTCTTTAATTGTCTGGCTTTGGCTTTTACCACCAAAGTTAAGCAAACCCTGACAGTTGCTTCACAGGCACTAGACAAATGTTTAACATGTTACATGAGAAAAGGTTAAGTACAAACACAGCTAATAATCTGGGCTCTTTGGAGGTAGTGTCATATCTGAATAAATCTGACAGCACCTCATTGTAAAGGGCAAGAATTTATTATTGTCCAGGTTAAACGTTGTGCTCTTATTCTTTCTGTGGCTATAACATAAGAAAGGCTCTTTGTGTGCTGAAACAAACATTAAAGTGCCAACATACACAAAATGTATAAGGTGTCTGGGGATTATTCTTCAGCAAATAGTTTAACTTACTTTGGCTTCAGTCTCTCCCCTGTGAAGTGTATACAAATGATGGACGGCACTTTGTGATGATGACCAAGGATGTGTCAGTATTTGAAAAACATGGAAATCATGGCCTAATGTGTCAGTAGTGACCAGCAACATCCCTGGGTAAAAAAACAAAGAAAAAAACAAAGAAAAAGAAAAAAGAAACACAAAAGCACAAGAGATTAATCACTGCAAAGAAGAGGCTTAAGAACGTCTATCTAAACAAGCTAGTGTGGCTTACATTTTGCTTCCTGGAAACAAAATAAAACAGTTGCAGAAAATTACTAAATTGAAAGGGATTCACTTCATAAAAATTAATCAGAACTTTAACTGAAATCATATTAACAGTATTACTGCTTAAGTATTACAATGCAAATCTATAAAAGCCAAGTAAAAAATCTGGGAACAGTCTAACTTGAGAACTTGTGGGACCAATATGAAGCACTGAAGTGATTAATGTTAGAGTGAAGCCCCAAAATGCTCTTCACTGGGAAAGAGCCAATAAAAAAAAAGATTGATGTTTCCACAATAATAATTTCTGGAAGAAGAAACATTACCAAAATCCAGTCAAAATAACCCACACCAAAAACAATCCTGAAGAAGCATCTTTCTTATAAATGTATATGGAAGAAACTGATTTATTACTTGAAAGGCAGCAAATCAGAGTTGAGAGCTTTCAGGAGAAATATTAAATTACCTACTAACTTCATTGAAAACAGGTCACTGATGGATGTACTGAAATTATTAAATTAGAAAATCAGCAGAATCACAATAACTTATATATGCTATTTAATTTTTCTCTCTCTATATGTCAGTCCATTACCCAGTTTTCTAAACATTTACAAACACATTTGAAGTCAATTTCCCACAAAAGTTTAAAGATTTTATACCAAAAAAAATAAGTATTATTTTGTACATGTTAAAAAAGTATGGCATCATGGCAGAATTTAGGACCACAGGAAAGAAAATTCGGCTTAATTTTTCTGTATAAAAATGTCCATATTACCATGCTTCTTACTGACATTTAAGAAGTTACCACCCAAAGTAATCCTCCAACATTTAATTAACATCAAGCACAAAGTGATTTAAGCAGTTTAATAGCTATGTTGAAGTGCCTTTAAATAATCTTCAAGGCATTGCATCTATTAAAGAAAGTCAAGCATTTCCACACAGCTCTGATGTGTTGATTTTCCACATAAAGCATAATGGAAATCTTTTATCCTTCAGGAAGAAAACTGAGGTCGCCACATTTTACACGACACCTATTCAAAGGGTAAATGATGATCTTTCTGTCATGTAAGAGTGTTCTGTTTATTATATGTGGCTCCACAATTCGTCTTTCCCTCTTCTGCTCACTGCTGCTAAACAAATTCAGTCCAAATTGGAAAGGCCTCATACCTTGCCATTCAGGGCCTAGTATATGGCACTTTTACATTTTAGGATTAAACTTGGAAAATAAAATCCTCTTGTGTATTGAGCAGCAGGGAACACTCTCTTAGCAAAGATTAATTAACTTTTCTACTGAAATCTCCGTTACAACATCACTCGATGGCTATGCCATTTTCCCTCCTTGACAACCCTGGAATCTCCATTCCCTTAAGCCCAATTAGGAAAACTTCAGCAGCCAAAGTCTTGGCTTCTAGGCCCAATGACACTCCCTGGTGCTCCCTCCTCCTCCAAGACTAAAGCAGGTTTGTATGAGCACATCTTGCAGCAGAAGCAGCCTCCCGAGCGGACAACACAGCAGCATCACAGACTGTGTGAGCACCCACAGGCCCAGGCCTCAGTTTCTCCTCACAAGTTCTCTTCTAAAATAAAGATCTTGCGAAGGTAAAAAAAATTCTAAACCTACAAGGCCTGTTAGCAGAAAGGTACAAAATCAGAGAGAAATCCAAGTGGCATTTAGAAACAATACTGCCTACAAGTTTCCTTCTCAGCTTGACCACTGATGCTGGCAGGGCTTGGAGGGAGCGCGGGGCCACCCACGCTGCACGCAGCCATTTCCTCGGAATCACACAAATGCAACATCTTAAATCTGACCTCAGCAAGATTCCCTCCAGTAGACATACTTTTACTGTTACAGGCTGTTACTCTGATTCCGAGTGTTAGAAATGAAAGAGAGTTTGTTATGGAACTAAGAAATCTGTGAGTGCATTTGGGTATTATGTTTGGGCGGTAAGGCATGTGAGCTGAGGTTGGTCTGGATGTTAATGTTGGCTTAACTGGCAATTTTCTTGATTTGTAGTGACTGTGTTGATAGGAAATACAGCTAAAGTTGCTCAAGTGCAAGTCAGCCAAGTCTTTAGTGTGGGATTATGCACACAATTTGCATTAATTCTGTTCTGAAACATCACAAAATACACTTCCCTTCTAGTGAAGTGTGCGGTCCTCAATAATATATAGCATTTCCAGTGGAGAAACCTGGAAGCAAACAGGGGCTTGTGCGCTAGAATCAGGCTGCTGCTATTACTGGAGCAAGGATATTCCAAATGATCTAACTCAACACAGTAAGGATTTATTTTCTAAAGTCCTGTGTTTGCCTCCCCCTCATGCACTAGGATAGCTTTATACAGAAGTTGAGAGTGCTTTTGAGCTTGCTCTTATTCCAGATGGAAAGGACCTCTGGAGAAAGAGAAGCTGGAAGAGACAAACACATAAGGCTTTTCTCAACAGTGAGCAGACAGCCTCAGCAAACCTAGCTTATTTTTTTTCTTCCCCCAAAGTGCTAGAAGTCTTTTATAAATACAAATGCAGAGCTGAGTGCACCCAGAGATCTGAGCACAGCATTCTTCATGTGTATCCCATCACATGGCACAGTGCAATGAAGATCGTAAAAAACCTTTTAAACGAGCCAAAAATCTGTCTGGAAGCTGGAGACAGAAAGCTGCGTAATAATCATGAGCCAGTGAAAACATAGGAATTACCATACTGTGTTGTCCATCAAATCTATGGCTTGTTTAGCTAACCAGTATCTCATTTCCAATACTGGCTGGAAGTGCAGGTGTCTGTGGACGGGGCAATAAACCCCAGTGCACGCAGACATGATAGAATTTCACCCTTTTCCTTACAAAGGTCTTTTCCCAAATATGTAATCTCTGTTTACCCCAAGCAGGGCATTGCTAGAGAGCTCACTTTGGGACCATACATGACAATGCACGTCACCCAAATGCAGGAAGCACACACACTGGTACCTGCTTGTTCTTCTGGTGACATACAAGGTATCTGAACAAGCGGAGCCATGAAATGTGCTCGCCTATCTGCAGCTCTGATCAGTTCCATATGATGTCCACAGCTCTTGGTTCCACACTAATGTGCATTGCCTTCAGGTTTTTTGGGTTTCATCTTGTTTGGGTTTGGGTTTTTTGTTTGGTTTTGCTAACTTGAAGGAGTACAGAGGTGAAAGATAATACATTTGTGGGTGGAAAGGAATTGGCTTAAAAATAGAAAGATGGGCGGTATCTGATTTGGCAATTTTGCATGCCTCATCTAAAATCCTGCAGTCTGACACTGCTCAGAATACATGCATTTTATTAGCTGGAAGCCAAAGGAAAACAAGTCTTTCCCTTATATTAGCCACTAATTTTCAGTAAGTTAAAGGAGGACCTTTCATACCCACACTTGCATTTGAAAGACACATGTACTTGAAAAACTTGTACCAACACCGAGGTCCCAAGCACAATACCACAGATGTGAGAAAATATGTATTTTTCAAACAGCATTTTTGAAATTTCTTGCTACTGTTATTCAAACAATAAATCACTGATGTGTTAGAACATTTGACTCAGGTTTTGCTGTGGTATTTTCCAGCTCTCATTACTTCACACCAAAGAGTCACAGTTTTCAATTACTACAGCTCAGCCATTTCGTTTCCCTCTCCACCTCCCTGCAGCACAGCTACTGAGACACCCCAGCAGAAATGCCTAATCCCAGCAGAGAAACATGAACTTGAATCTTGGTCGTTACCTCACTTTCACTTTCAAGTGCAGGAAACTTCAACTCAGCTTTCTAAAAGACCTTGTGACAGTTTTCCCAAAAAGTTGTTTAGACGGAAATACGGGTTAAAGCTGTCGTAAGTTCAGTCCAAAATGTTTTCTCTTATGTACTTTATGTATGAATAATCAGAGATGAAAAGTGAATAATTCTCAAGGATTTCCTGCTTATTTTTCAAACTGGCATTAATCCCTGTTTAACAGATAACATCTGAAATCAATTGAAAGTCTTGCATACGCAGAACCCAGTGGAAACTTCTGTGTAAAGCAGATTTTACTTAGTATGTATCTTGCTGCAAAAATTTTGATTTTGCTTATCCATAACAAGAGGGGTGCAGCTAGGTTAAACTAATGACTGTTTTACTGTGTGGTTTTTCAAATCCACAGAGATGATTAAAATCCAGTTTAAAAGGAACAGATACCCTAGATGGAAAAAAATAAATTACCAAAGTTTTGTTTGACCTGACAGATACATTTGCCCTAATTTACAGCTTCCTACTTTTCATGCATTCTGTTTGGGAAACAATAAGCTTCTTTCAGGATAGAAACGTTTAAAAATACAGAGAATCTATGCATAAAAGAAAAAACTAGTACAGATGTAGACTGTGGGTTAAGAGCTATTTATGCAGTATCAGAAGACTAAACCAGACTCTGGCCTGGCCATAAACTAAGCCCACGCCCTAAATGAGGTGCCAAGCCACAAAAAGCATTTGCGTCAACTGGGAATACAAGGAAAAGAAGGACTTCTAATTATAGGGCCTGGAAGCGGAAGCCCAGAGTGATTAGGAGTTTAGGCGCTGCTGTATGTTTATCTGGGAGCTTCCCCTCGCTCTCTCAGCCCAGGTTTGATAGATGAGGGTTGGCCTAAAGGGTGGGATTGAAGTTGCTGATGGTACACAGAGTTCTCCACGATCCGAAGGAGAGGGAGACTGAATACTAAGGCTTCTGTGGCCTTGTAGGAACATAACTCTTTTCAACTAGGCGTCAGCTGGTTAGCCCGAACGGCAAAATTAGAGAGCAGCAAATCTCAGTTGGGTACTTGCTATAAAATCTACGAAACCTGAGTAGCCTAAGCATCTCCACCACATCCTATTTATAACACCTATCTAATTGCACAGTTGTTTATTTTA